GTCGTTCAAATCCTGTATAATCGAAAACGCTATTAGTGTTCTAGTCAATATAGCTCTCTCTTTTTCACAGTGGACCACCTTCCACTCCTTCAAGGCTCACTTTAGTATGTTTGATTGGACATCATACAGCATACAGTGCATGTAAGCCATTACGTGATTGGTGCGTGTAAGCCACGTGAGCTTCTTGGCACCACTGCGCTGCGCTGTGTTTGGCACACTAATATTTCAAAATTATTAAGCTGTAACGGTTTTATAACGATTTTTGTAACGGTCACTGTGCATCACTGTGCTTTTCGCTTTTAGTAAATATTCTACTTTGAAAATGCCGGTTTCCTTAAATGCTATCACCCTTTGTAATTTTAAGTCAATTCGGGGACAGGTAACAATTACTCCCTTCCCATCACTTACAACAATTATCGGTCCAAATGGATCTGGTAAGATTTTGTATTGTCTGTAGCGTGTAGGTTATTTGAAATAATTTTTTTTAATTTTTTATTTTTATCAAATAAAAGTAATTTGTTTATTTATAAGACGTTTTTAGCAAATAAATGTTATTTGTAAAATTTGTTTATTTATAAGACGTTTAGATGTTTAATTAATGGAATTAAGAAAAATTTTATATAATTTCTGCATTTTTTTTTATATTGCATTTATATTCTATTTAAAATACATAGAAGCTTGCGTATGATATTTTAGGAAAATCAAATATTATGGATGGAGTAAGATTTGTTTTGGGAGAGAAGCCAGATGCTTTGCGTGTTAAATGCCTCAGTGACCTCGTTCATGGAGCTATTATTAGAACGCCAAGAACGGAAGGGTATTAAGGATATTTTACGTTATTTTTTAATTAATTTTTTTGTCATGCTTAATTGATTTTTACTTATGTTACAGTACCTACGTAAAAATAGTCTTCACGGAAAACAATAATGAAGAAAAAAGTATCACAATAAATGAAGAAACAATAATAAATAAAGAAAAAAGTTTCACAAGGATAATACATAATGAAGACAGTCAATATGATATAGATGGCGAGGTACTACAATTTTGTGTTTAATTATATTTTGAAATTTTTAAAAATTATTTGTATTGTATGACTGATTTATTTTTTATTTTATTGTATCACAGATTGTCACACATAATTTTTATATGGCTGAACTCAAAAAATTTGGCTTGGATATAAACTTGGGCAATTTTTTTATGCCTCAAGGCTACATCGAATGTTTGGCAACAAAACTGCCAAAAGAGCTGACTGTAATGTTTGAAATGATTAGTGGTTCAAACTCTTACGAAGGCATTTACACGAGGTATATTTTTACTTCAATGGATGATACAAATTTTATTATATAAAATTTAGTAAATTTATTAAGTTTTTTTTAAATTATGATTTTTATATCTTTAATATTATGGTAGATTAATGGAAAAGAATCAGGAATTGAAAATGAAAATACATTATACATTTCAAATGAAAAAACAATTATTGATGCAAAAGAAATGTACTATTGCGGAAGCAGAAGAAGCAGACAAATATTCAGAATTGCAGGAACAATACGTATGTTTGCTATATATTTATTTTCAATTTATATAAAATTTTTTCAGAAGTTGCTTTTATTTTTTTTATTCAATGGCAATATTTATAAAGAATTTCTACACATTATAGATTGAAATAAAAACACAACTGCAATTAGTTCAATTACTTCTTATTAAGAAGGCAGTTGACACCTTACAAAATAAGAAAAGAGAGAAAAAATTACAAATAGAGCAACGTCTATTTGACAAGAATAATGTGATGTCTTTATTAGAACAACATAATTCACAATTTAAGTCATTATCCAATTCTGTGGAAGCTATCGAAAAAGACATTCAAGAATTGGACAATGTTATTCAAAACTGCAAAAATAATCACGTTAGGCATTTAACAACTGTTTTATATTGGCAAAAACACCGTGATCACGCTCACGCTTGCCTGAACAATGGGAATGAAGCACGTGATAATAACATCAAAATCATTCAAGAATTAAAAGATGAATTAAAACAGATAAACAAAAAATTGAAAAAGATGAAAGAAGCATCACAGGACATAGAACTCACCAATTCCCAGGTACTATATCAATTCAAAACCTAAGATATTATATAAATAGATTTGTGTTTCTCTTATTTTATAATAAAACTTTGTTTATAAAAGAAACTTGACTAACACAAAAATTATCTAAGGTTAAACATTATTGCGAATTGAAAAGCGAAGTTGAATACCGAGCGAAGGATTTTGTAGAGCAAATAAATAGATTGATGCGTAATCAAGAACCAGATCGCATTAAATTCGAAAACGAAAATAGGATTAAGCAGGAACTGGAGGACAAAATAAAGCGAGACACATTTAAGAAGGATAATCTTGAAAAGTGTCTCCAAGGACTCCAAGATTCAGACGCCAAATTCAAAAGAACTTTAGAGAGTAAGATAAAAGACAGAAAGGAGTTAATCAAGGAAATTAACACAATAAAAACTACATCGATAAAATTGAGCAACGATATTGCAAATATTTCCAAAGAGCTTGGCCAAGCTGATATCAGTTCGCAAGAAAAGAAAAAAGTAGAAATAATCAAAAATTTGAAACAATTTTCTGGCGTGGTATAATTTTTATTGTCATTACAACCCAGATAGTAGTAATAATAATTATTGTGTATAAAAAATTAATGTATATTTCGCTTTTTAGCATGGCCGATTATCTCAGTTATGTAGGCCTATACATCGACGGTACTATGTTCCTGTGATTAAAGTTTTTGGTAAAAATATAGACGCTATTATCGTTGATACTACACATACAGCGATCCAGTGTATTCAATATCTAAAACAGCAAAAACTAGCTGCTGAAACATTTTTACCACTTGATTCAATTAAACCGGTTCATTTGAAGGAAAACTTACGGTAAGTTAATTTTTAGAGAAAAAACCATTTTATCGTAATAAATAGTTTCATAATATCATTTATATTATAGTGATATAAAGGAACCGAAGAATGTTAAATTATTATTCGATGTGCTAAATGTTACACGTGCGGAAATAGCGAAGGCAGTTTTATTTGTTACCAAAAACGTTTTAGTTTGTGAGACCGCCGACGATGCAAGAAGAATGGCATATGAAATCGACAAACACAACGCTTACGATGTAATAATAATTATTTTTGAAATATTTAATTTTTATCTACTGTACTATTACATATTTACTATGTTTCAGTGTGTTTCATTGAATGGATGTTTTTATCGTAAAGATGGTCTGATATCTGGAGGAGAGGCCGATTTAATTTCAAAAGCGGAACAATGGATGAAGCAGAGGGAGTATGAGGGAGCACGGGATACATTCGCATTGGAGAAACAGAAGGTTGCAAATCTTTTATAGAATTATGCAGTGAATTATTGTATGTAATATTTTAAATATTATTTTTGTAGGAAGATTTAATGAAGGAACTTAACAAGCTGCCGAACATCTCACTCATGCGATCTGATCTTAATATACTAAAGGAAGAAATTGAAGGAATTTTTTTCCAAATTCTAGAGGTCAAACAAGATATAAAAGATTCTGTAAGTAATTATGGCAGAAACAACTCATATGCTGTCGATTTAAATATATGCACTATCATATGAGTACACGGATCTCTTGTATTTTTACAGGAAAGTAAAATTAAGGAAATTAATGAAATATTGCAACAGCACGCTCAAAATCTATCTTTGTCAAATGTGAGTACTTAAAAATAACCAGTTTTTTTGAAATTTTTATTGCAAGAATATTTTTTTTATTATTTGTTTAATTTCTAGTCGACAATATCGGAAATTCAACATAATATGCAAGAAACAAATCAAAATATTAAAAGCATACAGGAACATATTGATACAATTAGAAATGAAATTTTTGCTGATTTTTGTGAAGATATTAATATACCGGATATCAGCTACTATGAAAATAAACTGCTGTATGTTTAAACCTTTAAATATTAAGTATATAATAAAAAATAAGTTTTACGAAGTTTTAAGAAAACAAATCAATTTTTTCAGGATTTATAGAGAAGAGGAAGAGAAGCGAATAAACCTTGAGAAGCAATACGGTCTTATCACGACTCAATTATCTTTCGAAAACGAACGCGATACAAAAGGTATATTTTTGGATCGTGTTTCTGAATGTATCATTTTTTATGTTTTACAATGTTTTTACGTATACTTGTAAATTTTGCGTGAATAGCTCCAATTTTGAAATGGAAACGTGCTTTGAAAAAAGCTGAGGAAGAGTTGAATAACGCGCAACAGCAAGAAACAATAATAAATAGTGAAATTGAACAAGAAGAAGTTAAATTATCGAAATTAAAGATGACTTATGTAAAGAAAGAAAACGATTTAAAGAATATAACAGAAAGCTTGAAGAAATATAATTCAGAACTTCGTGATATAACAAAGTTATATCTAGAAAATCAGAAAGCTCACATTGCTATACAAACACAAATAGATAAGAAGAAGGCAGAATGCAATGCTATACTTAGAGAATGCAAGGTTTGTAAAATTTTAAAGAACATGTCTATTCTAAAATACTTGACGTAAATGTTAAACATTAAATATTGATTTAGTCAGTGCGTTTAACAATGTCATGATTTTCACAGATGGAAGGTATTACTGTTCCAATAGCGAAGACATCACACGGTAGACTAGAAAAGTTTCTAAGCAATTCTAGTCCTGCTTCAAACGCGGAATCGTCGAATGAATGGGATATATCAGTAATGATTAATTTTTCACTTTTTCCCAAAAATCTCCGTGATAGTACAAAAGAAGGTTTGCAAAATATCATTGTACAGCTTGATGAAAAACTTACGGAGATTCAAAATCAAATTAAAACCATAGTAAAACCCAATCTTAAGGTATATAACATTTAAAAATTTTGTATAGTTTGTATAATAATTTAAAAAAAAAAAACAGTTTTATACGAATGTGAATAAACGTATAGGTTCATGAGAAGATAGATCCAATAAAGAAACATATATCAAGTTTAAACAAGAAACTTAAAACGTTGCGTCAGAGAGCTCTTCGTACTGAAAGAGAATTAAATGAAGTAAAAAATGAAAGACAAAGTTTATTTATGAATTGTTTACAATGCGTTGCTGCTGCAGTAGAGCCTATATACAAAGTTCGTACTTAAATACGCTTATTATACCATTTATTTGAAAGATTGTTTTTATGTATATTATAATTGTTATTTCATATTGTGTTTACATTTTTATGCAGGATTTGGTCAAAGAAAAATCGGCTCTAGCACTTCTAGTATCAGATAATACTGAGGAATCGTACGCAGGTGGTGTACATTATAGCTGTATACCGCCGTTTAAACTCTTTCAGCCAATGTCAAATCTATCGGGTGGAGAAAAATCACTCGCTAGTCTGGCATTACAATTCGCAATTCAATGGTACATTTTAATTCTTTGTACGATGTTTCGGCTGTGGCTAATAGCCGAAAGTCAAAATTGATTTCCAAAAGAATATGATTTTAATGCATTTTTATTTCCAGTTATAAGCCATCACCGTTTTTCATTATGGACGAAAGCGATGCGACATTGGATCAAATAAATATTGAAAACTTTATTCATTTTATTCGATCTTACTTGAAATCGGATGATATAAAAGTTATCATGATAACGTTGAATAAATCACTGTTTTCTCATTCCGATGCACTTATAGGAGTTACTACTGAGGTAAGTTGATAAGATATGCTATTTCATCACGAAATACATTTTAATTTTTATTTCAGCCTGACGCAGAATGTACCGAGAGTAAAGTATTTTCCATTTCATTGGATAAATATTCTAGCTGTTAATAGAAACATTTTTTTATTTTTATTATCGATAGGTTGGGGTGACGACAGAATATTTGTCAGTTTTAATTTTTATTTCAATTTTAGTTTTATTTCGTGAAATTGACATGTGCCATTATTAACAATTATTACTTTTATAAATAATTTATGTTAAAATGGCTAAATTATTATATTTTATATTGTATTTTATATGTATATAATTTTTTTTAAATTATGGTTGATCTGTGTGTGATATTGGTGACGATAGAATATTATCAATTTTAATTTTTATTTCAGTTTTAATTTTATTTTTTATCGTCGTGAAATTGTTACATGTGCCATTAACCAAACAATTATTATTTTCATAAATAACCCCTATGTTAAAATGGCTAAATTATTATATTTTATATTGTATAATTTATATGTAGTATTTATATATAATTTTTTTTTAATTTATTACATGTCAATGCAATTTGTAAGACAAAACTGTGTCAATTGCATTGTTTCAATTGCTGTTGTTTGTACAAATATAGTAACTCTGATTTATAGTTGCAAGTAACAAACGAGGTGCAGGTCAATGCAGTCTATTGCAGTTCTGTCTCTAAATTATTTATATTTAATTCATTATATAAATACTTGTGTAATTCTTAACATTTATTAATAGCAACTAAAATCAGGATTTGGTTTACAAAGTTCTGAAGTCAGCCATGGCTTGTACACATGTCCATCGGCTTCTTTGCTGGGCATGTATGTGAAATAAGCTCTCTTGAACAATGTAGAAGGGAATTTTCCGAATTCCATGGTATTCCACATAGAACGGGCGTAAGAAACACGTTCTTTACGTACTCCGCTCTGGAAAATTGCTCTCTTTTCTTCAATCTGTTCAAAGAGCATATTAATAATTAATCAAATAGAAAAATCATTAATTTAAAAATATTGAAAATTGATACTTATAATTACATATTTTATCAATCATAGTTAGAAAATTATAATTTTAAGATATATGATTTCTGTACTTAAATTCGCAAGTATTAAAAATGGTTGTTAATATTGATAGTCGACCTTCTTTTTTATCTCCTTGGCTTGACTATAGGACAAACTTTTTAGCTGATGCCTTGTCATATTCAACGACGGTACCTCGAACTTCGGCATTCTTAACTTATCCAACAATTGCCAAGTGACAACGCTCTTTTGCATTAATTTTTCTGTGGAAACAAAAAAGAACCAATAACTGGATAAAGAAAAATAAGAAGCGATAAGAAATTAGCATCTTAATTTTGCGATCAAAATACTTTTGTCAGTTTCCGAAAAAACTATGCCTTTTCTGTACATGATCCAATCCTGAAGCTGCGGCATTAAATAACATTTCGGCAACTTGGCGAATGCATAGCCTTCCACATCCATTTTCTTCAATTCAGCCTGAAATATACAAGTTATATTTTATATTACGTACATATAAAATTTTTACATATAATCCAATTGATACTGATATTATCATTTATTTGCAGATAAATTGATTAAAACCGACATTTTGTAATTATCAGATTAAGATCGATGAAAGTACCTTTATTATCGTTCTAAGATTAAACTTGCTATCTTTAAGCTTTTTATCGCCATCGCCAGTTGTATTATCATCGATCTTCTCTCTGGTCTTCTCGATTATTTGTTTATATGATGCATTATCTCGCTGATAAACTTCGCCAGTAACTTCAGGATATTGCTTCTTTTCGTCAATTATTTTACTACTAATTTCTTTATGTAATACGTCTTTTTCATATTCTATTTTGCTGCTAATCTTTTTGCCAAGTGAATGCAATGCCTTCGGCGCTTTAGACACTTCCTTCGTGACACTTGTGTGGCTTTCTTTCGTCTTTTGACTCTGCTCAATTTCCTTCAATTTCTCTTCGTCGTATATTTCTTGGTGCGTCGCATAGGGTGCAACTTGTTCACTTTTATTCTCATAAATCAATCTGAACGCTTCATCCCTGGCCTTCTTTCTGCGATCGATTTCTGCCTTCAAGGCAGCGTCTTTCCTCGGCAACGGACCCGGAGGAATGTTCATCGGCGACCAATGACGATGTACAGCAGCTTGTAAAATATCTTCCTTGCTCGGTTCTGGTGTGTGCAACGGCGTGGACATCTTTAGACCATCGACTGCCTGCTGAGGCGATGACATAGAAACAGTTTCTGCTACATCTGATATATGGTATTCGATGTCGTCCGCGTTTTTTTTCACTTCTGATAAGGTGAATATCGTGTCCTTCACCATGGGTCTCGAGATGTCGACAATGGGCATAAAAGGTTGCTTCTTCAACGCCTTCAGTTTTTGTTGACGCGCTTTCCACTTGGCTCTTTCTTCATTTCGCTCCAGGATCTTTCTTTCGTTTTTGCATTCGCACACGGGTTTCATCACTTTTAATCTGCGAGGTCTACAATAATTCATATGACGTTTTATAATGGAAATTTGTCGATATTGGAAATTAAAAGTTATAAGGTAAAATGTTTTTTTTTTTTAATATCAATAATTATGACTGTATTATATCTAATTATTTTTTCTTATTAACCTGATACTTCGAGCAAACTTCTTGCAGGACGTCCAGCAGGGAGCATTATCCTCGCGCTGCGTAAAATGGTCCATCAATGCCGCATCCTTCAACGCCACTCTCCATCTCTCCTCTGGTGATTTGGACTCTATCAACTTCCGCCGAGCTTCTTCAATGTCATTCTTCTGATTGTCTTTTTTCACGTCATCGGTACAGTTGCACGATTTGGGCTTCTTCTGTATTCTTTTCACCAGGCTCTTAGGCCCGGAATATTTTTCGATCAACTTTAATCGTTCGTCTGTAGTTTCGCCAATGCACATATCGTACGGTGAGTCGAGAAGATCATATTCTGGAACATATTCGTCGCTTCTTCGTGGACTGGGAGATGGCGTGACGTAAACAACACCGTCGATGACTCTGTTCTCCTCTTCCAAATTTGGCTCTTCAACTCTCATCCCGTCTATTTTCTTTTCCACCACACCACTCACAAGAATCTTCTTTTTGCTCCTGTTCTCCCTGCAGTGACACGGTCGGCCTCCAGGACGAACTGGCATCGTTTCCAGAGGATAATCCGGTTCACAAAGATAAGCCAGGGTTTTCTTCGCTGGAAGCTCTTGTTCCGATCTCGTTCTCCAGCAGCAGGGTCTCTTCTCGATACGACTCTCTTCTTCATCGATCAGAGAATTGCCAGTCTCTTCTCTTTGCTCTTCTGACAATTCGTTCGGAAGAACCGGTTGAATGTCATCTAGGACTCCCGCAGGAAACTTGAACATATTTTTTAACCTTGCCATTTCTTGCTTCCGACTCTCCTCGGAATTGTAGGGAAAATCATAGAGCGACTTTGTTTGTTGCTTATTCTTCTTCGTTTTGTTTATTCGCGTCGATTTGAAAATTTTAGTTGCTAATTTTGACTCACTCTTGGCTGTAATGTTCTTCGATGATTTGTTTCTCCTCTTCTTTGTATTTTTCAAGTTTCCCTTTTTTTTGTTCCTTTTTTCTTGAACATTCTTTGATGGTTTCAAGGAGATTTTAGGATTTTTCTTATTAGTTTCCTTATTCAAAGAATCATTTTTAGCTTCTTTCAATTCCTTACTTAATATATCTTTTTGTCTTTCGTGCATTCTTAATGGCGCAGAGGTAGCAGGCAATGTTGGAGAAGTCAATTTCAGGCTCGTCTCATAGTCTGTTTCCACTGTTGTTTCTGCTGATGGCGCAATGCGCGATATATCCCAAGGATTATCGTAAGCGGGGTAATCAGGATCAGGGATGAACCTCTTCTTTTCTATTACATTCTTTTTTGGAACTTGAATCTCTTTTTTAACTACATCAACAGTTTCAGCTTTCTCTTTCCTTTTCTCTATTTCTTCTTTTTCTTTTTCCTTGTTCTTTATTTGCACTATCTCCTTCATAAAAGGATTGCGTCTGCAGGATTTGTCACCAGGATACATTTTACAGGAATATGCGCCTGGTTCGTCTGGTCTGTATTTTTTCCCAGGACACAATCCTTCGTCTTTCGTCCAAGGAATGTCGTCTTTACTAGTGGAAGGACTTGCATCCTTGTTGATCATTTGCTGAATGGCACATGCACAAGGTGGAATGTTCCTGATTGGCTGAGATACTGGAGGAACTGATGGAACTCGCGACGGTATGTGTATCTTTTCCTTTTGGACACCCGATATGTAGTACTGAGTTTCACCATTTTCATAAGCGACACCGTCAATGATGATATTCGTCTTGATTTCATCCTGCGATGCATTTTCCTCTAACAGATTGATCGGCGATCCTGTTGGACTCGGTCCTGGAGATTGCATCGCTATCGACGTCACACTGTATCTATTGCAAATAATATTTTTGTGCAATTATAGAAATAAATTTTCAGAATTTTAGTTTTCAAATTTTAGAATTTTTGTTTTGAGCAAGAAATTTATCCTACAATTACAAAATTAGAAAATGTCAGAACTCAAAAATGTCAAAGTTGAAAGACCAAGTGGTTTAAGAATTTAACGATTCACAAAAAAAAAATACTGATGTTAGAAGATGCAGAATTTAAAGACATAAAAATTCATAACTCAAAAATATTAATGTTAATATTAAAATAGCTAACAGTTATAATCTATTCAACAAAAGTTCTAATGAGAATATAATAAAGTATTAATTAAAATCGATCTAAAAGAGAGATATCCAATCCAATACATATTTATTACAATTAAATTACTCACTTATTTTTCCCTTCATCCTGCACCACATTGTCGATCAGCAAATGTGGCGTCTTAGTTTGTCTCAATTTTTCACGAGTCTTTCTAGTCTGTCGACAAGAGCAACAACTGTCGCAGATGGGTTTAAGAAATTTTGTAACAGTCTGCACACTCTTGATCAAATCGTCTGCTTTTTCCTGCACCTGGTTGAACTCCTCATCAACATTTTGCAGCCACTCCTGCCAATTTTTGGACAAATTTTCCCTTCCGCTAGGAAAGATCTTCTTAAATCTTTCGTCGCGTTGTAGCACAGCGAAGAACCTCTCGTCGCTGTTGGTGGGTGTCACATAGACTACGCCAGTAATTTCGTAAGTTGGAGGATGATCCTCGGATATACCAGTTATTGTATAAAGAGCGGTCTTCTCGCCCAACCAGGATTTTTGGCTTGCTCCTAGCGGTTTTAGCACGCCTAAAGATTTTTAAACAATCAAGTAAAAAAATTATTGCTTAATCCAATTTTTTTAACATTCTTAATACTTATAAAAATTATTTTCTGTTGCGTTTTCTATTTTCGATTAAGCGTTATAGTAGAATTGCAATAATTTATATCACAATTTATAATTATATTGTACCGCTAGCTTTGTATTCCACAGCTTCAAGTTTTTTATGAAGATCCTTTATCATAAAATCGAATTTTTTGTCATCATCTAGTTGATAAATGTCGAAAGTTGATTCTCCTGTTTCCAAATTTTTCTCTCCTAGAAAATCTTCATCTTTGTATTTTACTTGTTTATCAATATCAAGATTATCATGTTTACTAGTTTGATTAAACTTGGTAGCGGAAATCTTTTGCAGTTTCGCTCTAATTTCTTCAAGATATTCAGTAGCATTATTTTTTTCTCGTTTTGTAATTCGAGACAGTATTTTGTTACTAACAAAAAGGTGATCTTGTTCCTTGAATGGCAATATCACTTTCGGAATTGTAAGTAGTTTGCATTGTTTCCGCCATTTCTCCAAAGAATTTCGATAAGCAGCCCAATCAAAACGTTTAAAGAGTTCTTCGTTGTAAGGACAACTGCTTCTTCGCCTTTCCAGATATACTGGTTTTGCTAAAAAACAAATTATAACTGTGACTACAATATTTATATTTTGTTATTAATCAAATAATGTTTAATAATTATTGATGGAATTTACGTTTTAGTGGCAATTTTGGCATGATTACTGCTGGTAGTCTTCTATGTAATTCCTTTACTGTTTCTGGCAATGTCAGAAACGCGATGGCTGACAATATTATTCTCTCGTTGCAATTGTAAAATTTCTCTGCAAGTTTAATAATTCTGTTATTATTATGAGTAATTTTTCCACACAAATTTCATTAAAAAATTAATCTATTTTTTATTTTATCAGTAAAAATTTAAATTTACTATATTTCTCCTCGTAGAAATCATTTCCAGTTAAAATCTTATAAATTTCTCGTAGAAAATCGACACTATTCAATCCGCTTGATTTATGCAACTCTTTTATAATATTCGGATTTAACTTGAAGAACGTTGAAGTGATACCAATAGCCATCAATGTTGTTTGCGTGCCATTTGTTATCCTTTCTTTGTAATCGGCGTGTATTACATTTTCCAGATTCATTAAATTTTTTATCTGCAAATTTAAATAGTTTAATGTGAAAATCTTTAATTTTAAAATATAAACCAGACTTTATTTGCTACAAAATTTTTAATAAAAATTTTGATGCCACAACAATATTTTAATTTGTGTGTGTGTGTGTGTGTGTGTGTGAAAAGCTCACCATTCATTTAAATTTAATTACTTATCAAGCATTAAATTAAATTTTTGTCAAAATAAAATCTACTTGGGATCAATTCTATTCATGTATATCATACTTGATCCAGAGAAAAATCTTGGTACCACCGAGGATACTTGAGATCCAGTAAGTTTTTCATATGATTAACTGAAAAAAATAAAATTTATTTGTTAATATTAATTTACATATAAAAATTTATACATATAAAATGACAAATTATTTTAGTTTGATATTATGATGATTTAAACATTAAACTCTCTTCGTATTCACAAAAAGTCTTTAATATTATTCCTTCTAATGTAATCCTTCCTTGTAATAACATGTTTAATATATAATCATTCTCGCATGTCACTAAGAAAGTTGTCATTTTGTCTACATTTGTCTATTTTATTTTTTTATTAGTAAACATTTTAAGACTTTATTAAAAAGCGTATTTTTCAAATTTATTATAGAAATGATTATATCATCATCTTTTACAGTATTTTTATGCCAAGAATTAACATAAATAATACTAACATTTCTTTCTTGCGATAATGAATGCCATGTTGCTCGCTTTTTTGTGAACTCTTTGCTTTTCTGTCCAAAAAATATGCTTGGCTAATGCAATCTCATCCTCTAGATGCCATTTTACAGAACGATTATTTCTTTGAAAGTAATTTAATCCGTCGCTCTTTAGTTGTTGCTGATCTCCTATGTTTGACACTCTGATCTTGGTTGATCTCCTTTTTTCTCGGAGAATCCGTGGTGTGAAAAATGACACTTGCATCTTAGATACCGGACATTCGTGCATAGATATTGCCGTTAGTGATGATTTATAGGGTGGCTTTTGTTGGTTGTATTTTGAGAATGAATTGAAGCGATCCATAGAGCAGCAAAAGCCAAACGGCTTCAATCTTGAATATTTCTGCAACTTCCTTTGAAAAAAAATAATATCTAATAAATAATTATACTTTTCCTACCACATGTATGCAGATTAATGAATATTCAAGTAATATCTTTAAATAAAAATAAAAAACATAAATATAGAGATTATTCAGCTAATAAAAAGGGAAGCATTTTTTATAATGGAGAGAAAAGAAAATTAATAGAAGATTAGAATTATATATACACAGAATTCCATTAATAATCGTAATTATTTTAATGAGTATAATTCTATAAAAATATTTAGAAAATGTTTACTTTGTACGTGGCAGCAACATTTGTGTGCTGGGAGTCCTTAATAAAGTTTTGGACATTTTTGAAACAGAGATATAAACTATGATTCTAAATATATTGTTGAAGTAAACTTATTTGTAATTTGTGTGTGTAATACTTGTTAATTTAAAGAACGTTGTGAATAATTGGTTATAAAGATTGTAACTGAAATGTACAGGTTATGTCGAAACGACTGAAATTTTGAATTAATTTATACTGAAATTAGGGTTTTGTTTTGTTTATAACATGTGACTGCAATCAACTCTAACTAGGCAAAAATTAATAATAATAATTATAATACATAAAGCTTTATGTGATAATATTGTATTATACGGTGTACTTATGGCGGGAAATTATATTTTATATATATTTTATTAAAATTTGGTTTCCACATAAAACGGGAAATAGTTTATAATTTAGAAGCAACAAAGTATTTTTCGTCTTTAATTGCTCTACTTTGATCATTTTACAATCTTAATATTTAAACTATTTTAATGAATGTATCAAAAAAATGCAGCATGAGTTTTCTCTCTTAGAAGCTCGTAATCCCAGGATTGGATGAAGCAAGAAAAGAGATAGCAATCATAAGTATAAACCGTTCATGATAGTGTAGTCAGCTGATTTACTATTTAAGTAGTGGTGTGTTTTGTGTGCGGATGTGTGTGTGTTTGATTTCGTGTTCAGTCATCTGTATGTAAACGTTGCAGCTGATCGGTGCGGAAGACTTGAATTCGTAAAAATATGTTTTTTATAAGTAATCTTCTGTTCTTTGAATGATTTACTATTTCATATTATACGTTATCTGTTTGTCAATATTTGTTTGTCCACAAAGAAATGATAAGTGTTTCACAAAATCTTGATTATAGTTCAGTCTTGGCAGACAATCTGTTAAAATTGAATGTAAAGTGTTAAATAAAGTACGGTAACATAGTTTGTGATAAAAGAAAATTAAACATATCTGTGCAATTTAATAAAATCAATATATAAAATCACATCGAAAGAAAGGTAAATATACAATATAAAATATGAAAGAAACTTAAAGTTATAATTTTTAATTTGTAAGAGTCATTGAACAAAACTGCAATGTTGACATGTTTTGTTAGGGTTTAGAAAAAAAAAAAAAAAACTTTAGATAGTATTATATATACTTATATATGTTATACGCGCGTTATCTGTTTGTCAATATTTGTTTGTCCATAAAGAAATGATAAGTGTTTCATAAAATCTTGATTGCAGTTCAGTCTTGGCAGGCAATCTGTGAAAATTGAATGTAGTGTTAAATAAAATACAGTAACATAGTTTGCGATACAAGAAAATTAATCATATCAATTTAATAAAACCAATTGTTATTTTAACTCAAGCGCTATCAACTGAGCCAATTTAAGCTTCTTAAGTCATTCGTTTTCACAGCTGACAAGACAAAGAAATATTCCTTTGTAATTTTTGTATAAATTCTTCAGCTGCAGTAAAACTTCCCAGAGTCTACAGAATGTTCAAGCAAACAAAAATTCTAATCGTTGGAGCAGGTGCAGCTGGCATTGCAGCAGCATCAAAGCTGTTGCAAAAGGGAGTGGATAATTTTGTGATATTGGAGGCCAATCAGAGGATAGGTGGCAGAGTATACACTGAAAACTTTGGTGAATAATTTCTCTAATTAATTCTAACGTTATTAGAATTTAGATTTATACAATCATTTTAGTCTAACTAAAATTAGTTCTAATTTATTTTTAGAAGCATATTTTTAAAAGTTTATGATTTTAATCTTTCCAGGTCACAATGTGGTGGATCTCGGAGCTCAATGGATCCATGGTGAATCTGAAAATGTGGTGTTTAATCTTGCTTCCAAGCATGATTTACTGGATTCATTCTCCAATCTGCTTGATCCCAGTAAAAGTCACTTTGTCACTGTCAATGGTGAGATGATGCCAAAGGAAGAAAGCAGCAAGGCTTTAATGATTTACTTAAATATCACGGAACAGGCACAGGAAGAACTCCAAAAGGAAAAAGGGTCTTTTGGAGATTATTTCATAAGAGAGTAAGTAACTGTCTTTAGCTAGGATCAATTTATTGATTAATTTAAGTAGAATCTAATTAAAAGTAAGTTAAAAAATAAACAAGATTCTTTTATTTCATTAACATGATAAAAATATCAATATTATAACATAAGTATGAGTTATCAAGAGCCACTTATGGAATTTTTTTATTATCCTAAGTATTTTTTGGTATTTTCATTAAAACTTCCGAAAAAGAATATTGCTTACAAAACCATCAATATCACTTTCACGAAACCACGCTTGTAGCGTAGGATGGAGACATGCTCGCACAATGGTGTAAACTTCCTTATCAGGTACGATACATCTAAAAAGAAGAGATATATTAACAAAGGCACCTATTTCTTTGATATAATTTCATATCTTTAATTGGAAATCGAAAATAAGTGATATTTTATCAAAAATTTATCAAAAACTCATCTACTACCAATTTCCTGTTAGTTTGCTCTATCAGAAACTTATCTTTCTATCTATACGTACCTCACGCGATTATTGCAACACTGATTTTTCACATATTCATATCTCAACAAGGAATATATGTACTTCAAGTATTTTGTATCCAGACTGTTATGCATTTCTTCATACATTTTCGTAGGATTATTTATTTTTTCGATGTATCCTCTTGTTAGAATTGGTATAATGTAATCAACCTAAAAGTGTGATATATCTGTTAATATCAAAAGTAATTTATAAAATTAGCAGCTTGAAACATTTATATTTTCGGATTTTAATTTTACATCTTAATTTAATCAAAAGAAATTAAATTACCTGCTTAAAGCAATCGTCTATGAATTCTTCAGCTCGACTGTAGACGCCTTTCTCTTGCTCTTGCAATATAAGCACGCCGATTCGCGGCTGCTTGGATCTGAATATTTTCGTAATAGACTCCGCAGTTGACAAACCATCCTCCGCAAAAGTCAGCATAACTATGCAGCCATACGTCTGTTTATTATGCTGATATAATAGAAAATTATAAATATATTTTGTATTATAATCATGTAAAACATTTTAATTTAATTAAACCTTTCTTTGTTAGTAAATTTTCGGCAATGCATAAATCACAAATTGAGCAACCTTCTGCAAATTATCTTGTGGTGTGCATTTCGATTCGATTTCTTTCGTTTGGTTTTCGAATCCTGTCAACACAGGACTTAGAACCAATGGTGCTCTTGGTATATGACCAGGTTGAATTATTTCAGATCCTAAAAAATAATTAGTATAATTAATATATTTTCCATAGTCTGTTGTATAAGCTTAGTTTAATTTAATGTAATTTATCTTTTGCAAAAAGATAACTGCCACTAACCATCGCTCATGGCATGTTGCGACGTAACACTGACTAGGTCCTGCACGTAATCCTTTATTTGATTTATCACGTCGAGACGTTGCATCTTTTGTAAAGCACTCACAATTTTGTCTATTGTTGCCTCCGGAGATTGCACAAAAGTCAGAAGCACGTAATACGTTGGATCTTGGAGTCCCTTGAAGTCGTAATCTATGCACTGGGAAAAAATGAACATTATTGTTGCAGAAGTATATATTAGATATCACATGCACAATTAATATTATAATATAACGTTGGTTATGTACAATTATTAGATTTCTATAGTATTCTTACACGTATCTGCTCCATCGTCAGGCCCATGTGTGCTGCAAATTCTTGCCATCCATCGTACATCTTTCCAGTTGCTGTGGAGCTCAGTAGCAGGCATAGTTTCTGCAGCGTAGCTTTGCCAATATGCTCGAACAAGTATGCAGCGTGAATGCGCGATGACTCTTTCTGAATGTTCAAGATGATCGTATCTAAGTTAGGTGGTCCAGCTACTTCATTTCTTAGCTTCTCCAGCTCTGGATCTATTTTCCTAAAATTATATCAATCACAATCAATAATTGAAGTTTACAAAAGTACAATTCTTTTTTGCTTGCGATGATAAGATTATGTATTCCTTGTTACCGTTTTGCAAACATTATACTATGGATTTTATTAATAGTACAGATTTGTCACAAATTGCACTCATTTTATTCCATTTTCGTCACAATTTGTTCTGCAATAGATTGTAGAATATTTGCATAATACATTTTATGTGCATTTATATGCGGCATCAAATATTTAAAGGCGTCAACTTGTCACTTAGAATTAAAGACATTAGCTGTACTCTTCTCACATGACAAAATGAGTGCAATATGCTGTCAGTGGCTCCCCACTCACAGTTCAGTTCAAGGTTGAGGATGATTCATATCTGATTTCTGCCCGCTCGCAGTTTGAATCTAGGAAAAGAGCGTGAAATTTCCTGTTTAATAAGAAGCATATAAATAATTTCTATACGCTTTATATTTATAAATTCAAGAGTGGGCGCAAATTATATGTAAAAAATAAATTTAGGGTACAATAATGTTGCAGGTATTACAAAATTTTTGATGAGAAGCCTTTCGCGAGTCGCGCTCGAGCTGCCGAATATTTATCTTGGATGGAAAAAATAGAAAATTCTATAGAATGCAGTGACACATGGTTTGACGTTTCCGCAAAACGTTTAACGGAATATCGGGTCTGCGAGGGTAATCTTGCGCTGAATTGGAAGGATCGCGGTTATAAAACGCTCTTTGATTTATTATTGGTAATAAATCACTTAATAATATTAAGCTAAAAGCATCTCCATTCGTTAGAATAAAATTTTTTAAAAATATTTTAATTAAAAAGAAGAAAATATTCTTAATAAAATCGAAAATATTTTCTGCCGGAAACAAAAAATATTCATAAATTCTTAAAATTCAATATTTTAAGTCATAAAAATAAGATTCAAGAATAAAATTTAATTAAGAACTAAATTAGTTTGTCATTTAATCTTTATTAATATATTTCCTCTTAATTATTTTATCAAGCTTATTAATTATTTTTATCAGCAAAAGATCCCGAATCCTGAGGAATGCTTGCCAGTGATGGAAAGGATAGAATTCGGAAAAGTCGTAACAACCATCGACTACAGTTCCGGCGAAAACGTTATTGTGACTACTAGAGATGGAAGCCAGTATTCCGCATCACATGTTATATTCACTGGATCTCTAGGTGTCTTGAAAGAGAAACATTCTGCGATGTTCGTGCCTCCTTTACCGCAGAAGAAACAATGTGCAATAAATGTATATAAAAAGTCTATTTGAAAAAATTATGCATACATTATACACTGCTTGTTAATTAACGCGCTTTCATCACAGGGATTAAATATCGGAACAGCAAACAAAGTTTATCTTGAATTTCCACACAGATGGTGGCCGGAGGATACGGCTACCTTCAATCTTATCTGGCCGGAGGAAGACAAAGAGGAGTTTTTGCAAATCTATGGTCAAGTAAGAAAATATTTATGTGAATATAATCATACCTCTGTTTGCGAACATGAATTCGTGTTTTTCGTTTTATTAATCTCGCCAAATATTCGTTTTAGAACAGTGAATGGCTCTGCGACGTGTTTTCGTTCTACACTGTAGCTTATCAGCCGAATCTTCTTTGTGCTTGGATTGTCGGAAAAAATGCGAGGTACATGGAGACTTTATCGGACATTGACGTATTTGATGGACTATATTTGTTGTTAAGAAGATCGCTAGGAAAATATTACGATGTTGTGAAGCCAAGCAAAATATTAAGGTAATTGGTTATCGGAATTAATGTTAAAAGAAAGACTTAATTAAATGCATCTTACTTAATTTTTAGATCTAACTGGCACACCAATGAACATTTCCGTGGCTCATATACCTTCCTGAGTATGATTTCCGAACAAATGAATGTAAGTCCCAGAGATTTGGCCGAACCAATCATGATGGACGGAACTAAACCCGTAAGTAAAAATGTCCTGTAACAACAATCTATGTATATAATTATTAATATTTGCAATATTTTAATCCCTCTTATTATCTTTTTGCATCAACTGCTCATTTCGCAATAATATTCGAGATATGATCTTTTATTCCCGGCTTATTTTATCTTACCTTTTTTATCTTATGTAACTCTTAAATCATGTTGTGAAGGGAAATATTGATGAAATAATTATCGTCACGTTAGGTAATACTTTTCGCTGGAGAAGCAACGCACGATCATTATTATTCCACTGTGCATGGTGCGGTGGAGACAGGTTTCCGGGAAGCGAATCGATTAATTGATTTCGAAAGGTAATCTATTAATTGAAGTCTGGTATCGACAATATAGTCAATATGATATAGTATCTGCAAAACAATTTTGCTTAATCGTATATGTTGCTTCGAGTAAAATCTTTTCTATTCGTTGCTTATTTTCTTATAAATATTTGTTTCGCTTATTTGTGTTATTGCATGACTTTAGATTGTATTGTCATCACGTTTATATGTCACGAAACGATTAATCGAGCAAAAGCTTTCAAATTTGTTTATCAATTTAGTTTTGAATCCTTCCAACATATTTTGTATATAGCTTTGTGTATTTATACATGCTGCATTTTCTTAGGCAACTAAACTCACACCTCTAACAACATCCTCTACTGCTACATCCCTGAAATGAATGGATTACGGAAAACTATAAATATGTTTGCAACTTGCAATATTTGCAACAGGCGAATAAATTTAAGGCATGATGACTACCGTAATTATTTGTAAGACATGCAAACGTCTGTATAAAGATAAATTGGCATTTTGTCTTTAGTGTAAAACAAATTTTTATATTATTTTATAATCATGAAATTTATAATTAGAGAAATATAGCTCTATCGAACAAAAAGACTATTTATTATTGATGTTTATTGTTACTTATGTTTATTGTAACTTATGTTATTAATATTTATTATTAGTACACTGTACCGAGAACATGTTCAATTAAACAGTGTGATTTATTAGTTTTTGTAGAAAAGTGTGTTTGTGAAAGAGAGTAAAATAAAAAAAGCGATAGTTCACCTGAGATTTGATAGATAAACTGCTTTGGATGACATAGAACGCGTGATCGCTTAGAGCAACAACTGGTTAACAACTTCGAAGCTATGCGGATAGAGATTGACGCTGCGAAGAAAACGGAAAGAACAAGAGTCGTGATAGTAGGCGCAGGAATCGCGGGATTGGCAGCGGCGAAAACTCTGGAGAATGCGGGATTCACAGATTATCTTCTTCTTGAGGGTACATTCGCATCTGTTAAGAATGTAATATAATTTAATTAAGTTTAAAAAAGAGAGATTTGTATACAAATTAAAATAAAATTAGAAGAGGAATAAAGAAAATTTCCCGAATTATCCTGTCGTATTATGCTGCAGCTCAAGATGTAATTGGAGGAAGAATTCATTCCGTTCCGTGGGACAACGGCTGGATAGATTGCGGGGCGCAATTCTTGCACGGTGACAAGAGCAGGCTAGCCCAATACTGCCTCGATAACAACTTGTTGTCGAACATTCAAGGCACGGACGGCGAAGGGATTTTCTTACGCGACGACGGATCGATAATGAACGAGAGCTTGGTACGCGAAATCGACGATCTTGTACGGACCGTCTCGGACGATCTATGCGAATCTCAGATACCTTTAAAGGAGCACGAGGACGTCGGCTCCGTCATGAGAAGTAGATTTGAAGAATACTTACGCGAGAAGAACGATTCTCCGACGGAGAGAACGATGAAGGAGGAAATTTTCGATTGGAACGAGCGGTTTCTCCTGGTGGACAACAGCTGCGATTCGCTGAACGATTTATCGGCGACCCTGTGGGGAAAGTTCAAGGTAAACTTAATTATTAGTCGACCAATTAATGAGTTAATAACGCTATAAGGGCAACATTGATTTCCGTAGTATGTTGGTGGGCCAGAACACCTACTTTTCAAGTCCGGTTATAGCTCCTTGACGAATCTCCTTGCGGACAATCTGTGCGGGCATAAGATGCGACTGGCCACTCCCGTGGAGACCATTCACTGGCGGGACTCCGTGGATCAGCAGGAGGATTTTCCGATTATCGTGACGACTTCCGAAGGGACGCAAATTTCCGCAGACGCTGTCATTGTCACCTGCTCGCTCGGCTATTTGAAGGAGAACCACCGGAAAATGTTCCAGCCGCCGTTACCGAATCGCCCAAGTGTTGCTATCGAGAATCTCGGTTTCGGAACGATTAATAAGATTTTCCTGGACTTCGGCAAGCCTTGGTGGCCAGCCGGCACGAAAGGCTTTCAGTTACTCTGGCGCAGAGACGCTGATCACCGATCCTTGCCGGAATGGAGCAGGGACGTCACAGGATTCGACGTCCTGCCAATTCATCCGGCTACTCTTATAGCATGGGTCGGCGGCCGAGGAGCGCATATTGTCGAGCGTCTATCGGAGCAGACGATCGCGCAGGACTGCACGAACCTGTTGACGTATTATCTGCGACGTCGCGATATCCCGCCGGTGAAAAAATGCGTCAGAACCAAGTGGAACGGAAACAAGTACATGAAGGGCGGCTATAGTCATATCACGAAGAGCTGCGAGAAGGATGACGTCTCGCCCGGAACGCTGGCTGAGCCGGTCTGGGCGACAGTGTCGCGGAATGACACGAAGAAGGTGAGATTAGCAGGCAATGTATTTCTGAAAAAAAAAAAATTAAATTTTTTTTCGATCATAAATAAAAAATTTCCAGATAATGAAATTTTATATAGCTATGATACGTTTTTAAAACTACTGCTTTCTAAGTGAGAGAGCACGAAGTTATAAAATTAGTCTTGAAAAATAAAAATTTATTGTGTACTAATTTTCTAATCAAAGAATTTTTGCAAATGCGATAGAATTTACCGATCATAATGCTCGCCGGCGAAGCCACGCACGATCATTTCTATTCGACAACACATGGAGCTTACGAGACGGGAATCAATCAGGCCGAAGTATTCTTGCAATACCACGCGAGTGCCACGTAAATATATATTGATATGTAAATATGTAAATATATTAATGCAATAAAGCTTCTTAATATGTTGTTTAACGAGACACTTTTCTTATTGCAAAGTTATTTAATGAATAAGAAATTTATTTTTAAATAGTTAAATAGCCAAATTAATTTGTTTAATAGTCTAACTTATTTTGGTCATCAATAAATTTTTAATTTATTCATTGTTAAGCGATTTCTACTTCTCTCGCTTTTATCTTTATTTACACTTCTTTGCGCTGTTTATTATTAACTTTTATTTTTGCTTCTCAAACACGTGATTTTTACGCTTTCATAGCGGGTAATACCGGATTAATGTGTCATTTTCCTGTTACTCGGTCTCTATCACCGATTTTTGCGGAATAGATTAACTAGCCTATCCATTCTTATCGATTGCGTCAGAGCCGGAAATTCCCAATTGGTCAATCTGATACTAATCGAAGATGAACAGTGTCTAAGCCTTCGTTTCTCTTCCTCTTATCTCCCTTTTTTATCTCGTCTCAAAGACGTTACGAGATTAATACAGGTTCCGCGTTCTGAAAAGTAAATTCGAATTAAATATTAAAAATTTATAATCAGTGATTAATAATCAATAGAAATATTGCCAAGAACGATAAACAATGCAAATATAATTGTAAAGAATTATTCTATTTTATCAAACACATTAAATCATAAATATTATCGCTCATAAATTAATAATAAAATATATCGCTATCGTGTTTTTAATATCACACTTTGTACTTGCAACATATTCAAAATTACAATTATATTAAAGATATTCTAAATCCAAATGATTAGTTTTAACAAATACACAAAGTTACAATAAGCGGTTATAATTTAATTACGTTAAATTTTCTCAGCGAATAAATGCGAATAATGCCGAGATTCGCACTGAAAATTGCAATATCAATTGATCTTTGCAATGGACTATAACGAAAAGTCGCGATCTGTATACTGTCAGGATCTCTCCCCACCCTGATCTGATGCTCTTCTCCCTCTCATCTTTTCCTGCCTTTTTACTTATTGTTTTTTTTTCACAGCAGTCTCCGTAGAATTAAGAGGGAGAGATGGAAGACGCGTGTAGATTCCAACGTGTAATCGCCTTAACTGTTTATCTTTGCTGAATGCCTTGACATCGAACACTCCATATTTACACGTGCTCTCTTCGGCGATGGATCTTCGCTTCGGACTTATCGCGATCTTCCTGATCCTTGACGTAAGCTTCGTCTGGACCACCGACGACAAAAGTTCAGGTGGACTATCGTTGATAATCACATGTTATAAATGCTAAAGGCGATTTACAGTTGTCGCAGTTATTCGCAGTTGTGATAGTGATCGTGGGTGTTGTTAATAAATCTGAAAATAACAAATGCTTATAAATAATGATATCTCTAATATTTATATTAAATTTTTCCAAAATTCTTCGTTTCTAAAATTCTTCTTATTCAGGAATTTCAAAATTTCAGAAATTAATGTTGCAAGACAGCATGATAAAGTTGCACGTATACAATTATATATGTTTACACAAATGTCTATATATAATTTGTCTTGCATATTTTCTAGGCGATCATAATTCCTCGAAAAAGAAGAACCCGCCCAAAGTTGAATTCAGTTCAAACATTGCGAACAATCCTTTTCTCCAGAGTGCCTTATTACAACATCGCCCCAGTATTGAGAGCAATCCCTTCTTACACTCCTCCAGTGGCAACAACAGTCAGAACCAAGTTGGTATACAGCAAACCATTTTTTTGCCACAGGAGAACAAGAGTTCCAGCGTTGTAACTATCGTTATCTCCAAGAATCCTTTTTTGAACCCTCAAGGAGCTGATATAAGGGTTGATACAGGAACTACTAATCGGCCAGGCACCTATGCGCCTGTTACACAAAGACCTAGACCACCAGAACCAGAAAATAATTCTTTTACTTTCCCTAGTAAAGTTCAACCTTCGGGACCAAGCATATTGCCAGATCGGACATCCTTAACATTCGGTTTGAAAACGAAATCAGAACTTAGTAAGTAAAATGCGATTAGTTTTGCAATTATAAAATTGAAAAATTTACAAGCATAAAATTGAAAAGTTCAAGGTCTAAATATAAATTTCAAAAATCATTATACGTGCAATATAAATCATAGCAATGCAAAAAAATTTGTGTAAAAAAATTTCAGAATGCAATGAATACGTGAGAGAAATTGTGGGCACGACCGAGATAGCGCCTCTAGTCGGCACATCCGGCGTGATCAAGATAAACAATGTCTGCGGTGATGCGAATCGACTGGTGATCGGCGGCACCGAGGCTAGAGTCGGCGAATTCCCCCATATGGTCGCCCTTGGCAGACGTAACTTTGATCAAACATTCAAATTGATATGCGGCGCCACGTTGATCTCACATACCTGGGTACTTTCTGCTGCGCATTGCACTCATGGGCCAAAGTACATTTACATTACTTTTCTTTATGCCTAAGAATTCCGGTAAAAACTATTTTCTTTCATTTCTTGTTACTTTTGACTTGAAAATTATTCTGTTAATGACTGTAGATACACAAGATAAAAGCTTAAAATCCGAAGATATTCTTCAAGATTACATTCATATAATTTCTTTGATGAAACGTGGAATACTTTAAATTTCAAGAAAATTATAACATTTTAGAAGTTTAAGAACTTTTAAATCCAAGAATATAAAAATTAAAATAATATAGAATATTAAAATAATAAGAGATAGATCTAGAAATCACAAAGCAATTAATCTTGCTGTTATTTGCGGATGACAATAAGTTCTGTAATTTACCTTTTTACAGTGGCGGTCCATCTGAGGCTCGAGTAGGTTTCCATAGATTAACGGATCAGCAACTCGGCGTCACAATTGCCATTAAGAATATGACACGACATCCAGATTATGCACCACCCGCGATGTACGCGGATATTGCTTTGATAGAGCTCGCCAGCGCCGTTACGTTTACCACATCAATACGACCCGCTTGTCTCTACCAGCAGTATGATTCCGTGCCTACGAGCGCCTGGATCAGCGGATGGGGTGTCACTGAATTCGGTACGTGGATAATTCTTCGTGTGAAATATTCAAATAGGATCCAATAAATATAATCTAGGTATCTAAAAGGTTTACATTTGTTAAGAATCAGGAACTTTGTCAGGAGAAATAAATGTTTTAATAAAGAATGGAATACCGATTGAGGTTTAATGACGTGATTCCAGCTGGAGATCAGAGTGATCGGTTACAGAAGGCTCAGTTGGATCTGGTGGATAATTTAGTGTGCACGATAGCTCACAACAACAGTCTCAGGGAAGTTCCGCGCGGCGTTACGCCGAACATGATCTGCGCCGGCGATCCTCGCGGCGGCTGGACTAAGGACACTTGCCAGGGCGATTCTGGTGGTCCTCTACAAGTGCTCCATCCTAAGAATCAGTGTCTCTTCCAAGTGATCGGCATCACCAGCTTCGGACAGGGCTGCGCGATTATCAATTCGCCCGGCGTTTATACCAGAGTGTCCCATTACATTCCTTGGATCGAAAATACCGTCTGGCCGTAAGAATAATAAATTTATTCAACCCAAAAAAACTCAAACTAAAGACTAAGACGTCTGTGACATTTGAAATTACGTTCTTGTCGGTCTTGTATAACATTCGTTCACAGTTTAAAAATAATTTGACAATTTTTGATCGATGTTATTCACGCTTCAGTTATTGCCGATCAAATAGTTAATTACATGCGTTACTTTAATTATAACAATGCGATAAAAAAAGTAGTCTGCGATATTCTAGTATAATGAAAGTAGGAATGGAAAGTCGCGAGAAAAAATAAATTGATAAAACATAGACCTGATGTTTCGTTCCGTTGTCTTTCTGAATCTCAGAAATTACTATATCTCGCAATCATGAATTGTTTCATCACGTTCATCTGTTATCATATAGGTCAGAGTGATGAACGTAGAACTTGCCACCAGTTTCTGCAACAATGAACTAAATACGCGCGTTAGGAAGATAATATTTGACATATCTTATAATACGAAAATAATACTCAATATATGTGATGAAGAAGTGCCAATAAATATTTATATGCTTAATAAAATGTACGGTCACTGTTATTAATTTCAACTTTTTTTAGATTCAAAGTTGTAGCCATTTTAAAATTTTTAAAATATATATATAAACATTTTGGCAATTTTGTGTCAAAAGTATAATGATAATTGTATGTATATCCAGCTCGTTGTACGATGCAGAAATAAAACTGTTTTAAAAAACATCACCTTCTTTAATTAATTTTCTATTAATGCAACTCCATGAATATCGATTCTTATCATACTTTTATTTACTACTTCAGAAACATATAATTTCTATGTATTTGATAGATAATATATGATTGTTCTATCTTTTTCCTTTGCTCAGACTTTACGAAGTAAATACAAATCCTTATCCTATACATTATTCATTGATTTCAATACCAAATACATCAAATCCTTATTATAGATATAATAAAATACTGCTATCGTGTTTATAGTATTATATTCTATACTTGCAATATGTTTAAAATTACAATTATGCTAAAAACATTTTAAATCGAAACTATCAATTGTAACAAATACAAAAAAACTTATTAAAGAAATATAATCATATTAAGCTTAATTTTGTAAGCTAATTAATGATTACTTCGTCACTTTTAGCAGAAATTTTGACTAAAAATTGTAATATTGATTTACATTTGTAATATTGATTGTAATCTGATTTCCTTTCCATAGATCACGAACTACATACTATTAACATCTTTTCCCAACCTGATCTGACACGCTTTTTTTTATCTTTTTTTTTCATTTTACTATCTAGCTTTTTTACTTATCTTTTGCATTCGCAGCATCTCCATGAAATGAGAAGGGAGAATGAGAACTGGAGTCCCCGCATAATTACTGTGATCGTTTACTGCTGCCGTATGGTTTGACATCGAACACTCAGTATCTTCCAACGTCTCTCTTCAACGATGGATTCTCGCTTCAGGCTCGTTGCGATCTTCCTAATCCTTGATGTAAGCTTTGTTTGCACTACGGGTGACACAAATTTAGGTAGAATATTGTTCATAATCATATCAAGTGCGATCTAAAATTATTGACTATAATTATACGTTGAGATATGTTAATGATTGTTAATATGTATGTGTTAATAAATCTGAGATATAGAAGTTTATAGATATGTAACATTTATATTTGTAAAATTCTTATTAGTCTTCTTATTCGTCTTATTAGTTAACTTTAAAATTTCAAAATTTATATTGCAAGGTATTATAAAAAGCATATATAATTATATATAGTTACAAAAATATCTGCATTAAAGACTTCCATACAATTTGTTTTCTATATTTTCTAAGTAATCGTTCTTTGAAAAATTTATCTGATTTTTTTTAATTTCCTAGGAATCAATGCAACTAATGGGGAAGGATTTCTTAATCAGTCAGGAACCCACGCACCACAATCTGTTAAATCATGGTCGCCAGTTTATACTTATCCTATTACATACACACCAGATTTTGTTTTTCCTACTGAAGATCCTACTGAAGTTGAGCCTTCAACGTCGGGTAGATTGCAATCATGGTCGCCAGTTTATACTTATTCTATTACATACACACCAGATTTTGTTTTTCCTACCGAAGATCCTACTGAAATTGAGCCTTCAACGTCGGGTAGATTGCAGGAATTGCCATCCATCAATACCAGTCTAATAAAAATGAAATCAGAACAGAGTAAGTAAAATATGACTAGTCTTGAAATTATTATAAATTTAAAAATCTAGCATAAAATCTAAAAATCTAAAATCGATATAAAATAAATTTTAGAATGTGATGAATATGCAAGAGAAATTGAAAATAAGACTGGGATAAAGTGTACAATCGACAGACCGTCTGTATCATTTGAAAAGAAGAACGACACTAAATATGTATATTACGGTATCATACTCGGTGTTGAGACTAAAGTCGACGAATTTCCTCACATGGTCGCCCTTGGCAAACACAACTCGGACAAAATATTCACCCTGATGTGCGGTGGTACATTGATTTCACATACCTGGGTACTTTCTGCTGCGCATTGCACTCATGGGCCAAAGTATATGTCTATTACTTTTGCTTTGCTTTATGTTACTTAAGAATTCCGATAGCAGCTATTTTTTTTGCTTTTGACTTAAAAGCTCTCATTTTCATGACTGTAAAGATGAATCAAATAAGGATCAAATTTCTTAAAACTAATTTCACAATTTTTCTTCGATAAGATGCTAAATATTCTAAATTTCAACACAATTATAATATATTACAAGCCAATTATTCGAAACCAAAACATTTTCAAAAACCGAAATATTAGAATTTAATTGATACATTATACACTTTGATATTATTACACATTAATATAATACAAAAAACTGAAAATCTAAGAATCATGAAAATTGATTTTGCAGTTGTTCATAGAATGACGAAATAATTACTTTACTTTTTATTTTTTGTAGTGGCAGTCCGTCTCACGTTCGATTAGGCTTTCACAAATTAACAGATCAAAATGCTGGTGTCATAGTTGGCATTAAGAAAATGATACGACATCCGGAATATAAACCACCCATGATGTATGCGGATATAGCTCTGATAGAACTTGGGGACGCCGTTACGTTTTCCGCTTTAATACGACCTGCGTGTCTCTTTCAACAGCACTATTCCACACCAACGAGAGCCTGGATTAATGGCTGGGGTGTCACCGAATTCGGTAAGTAATTTCATAATTCGTGCAAAAATTTGAAGTCGAAGAATCCAAGTTCTGAAAACTTTACATACTTTAAAAATCAAGAGTTTTATTTCTTATTTATATATAATAATTAAAGATCTCAGTAATACCGACTGAGGTTTAATGCGTTTCCAGCTGGAGAACACAGTGATCCATTGTTGAAAGCTGAGGTGGATCTGATAGACAATCTGGAATGCACTAATGTTTACAGCAATGTAAGAGAAGTTCCGCACGGCATTGCGGAAAGCATGCTCTGTGCTGGTGATTCTCATGGCAACTGGAGTAGGGACACCTGTCAGGGAGACTCCGGAGGTCCACTACAAAATCCAGATTCTGAATATCGATGTCTCTTCCAAATAATCGGTATCACTAGCTTAGGTCTGGGCTGCGCGATAATCAATACACCCGGCGTTTATTCCAAAGTGTCTTATTACGTTCCCTGGATTGAAAATATCGTCTGGCCGGAAGAATAATTGTGATTTATATTAATAAATATTTAATATGAAATATATGTGTATATATCTTTCATTGATTTTAATACCAAATACATTGAACTTATTATCGCTCATAGATATAATAACAAAACATTGCATTTATATTATTATGCTTTATACTTGCAACTATAGATTTTGAGAATATCTTAAATCAAAATTATCAATTAAAACAAATGAAAAAAGTATGATCTTACGTTAAATTTTGTAAACTAATTAATGATTATTGCTTTGGTAAGAAATCTGATAGACAATCAACAATTTTGACTGAAAATTACAACATTTATTTACCTTTTCCATGAATTGCAAAGAAAATTCACGATCCACGTATTGTCAAGATCTTTCCCCACTCTGATTCGACGTTCTTGCTTCTTCCTTTTATCTTCTCCTGTTTTTTTTGCTTACCGTTCTCTTGGTACTAGCTTTTTAGAATGAGGAGAGAAAAATAAGAACCGGATTCTTCTGCATAATTATCGTGATCGCTTATTTTTTCCGCATTCTTTGACATCGGATATTTAGTATTGCTAGTGTCTCTCTTCGGCGATGGATTTCCGTTTCGGATTTCTTACGATTTGCGTGATCCTTGACATAAGCTTTGTTTCTACTATTGGCGATACAATAGGTAAAATATTAATAATCGTATTAAGTGCTATTATCATAATTTGAAGTTATAGATTATCATTTTGCGTTGATATCGTTATTATTGTATCAGTAATTGTGAATGTGGTTAGTAAATCTAAAAATATATAAGTTTATTCATAAAAAACGATATGTAACATTTATATTCAATAAATTTTTTCATTGTAGAATTCTTCTTACTTAGAAACTTTAAAATTTTAAGATCTTATATTGCAAGATATTATAAAGCAACTGTACATATATAATTATTTATACTTACAAAACTATCAACATTGACTTCCATACAATTCATCTTCCATACTTTCAAGTACCTAATCATGGTTTCTCAAAAAATTCATCCATCTTTTCTTGAACTTCCAAGGAATTAATGCAAAAATTGATAAAAGATTTCTTTATTGGCTAGGAACGTATGCAGCACAACCTGTTACACCAGGACATGTTGCACAACCACCTTATAGACGACAGCCGCCGCTTTATAATCATCATGTTACATACACACCGGATTTTGTTTTTCCAACAGAGAATCCTCCTAAAATTGAACCTTTAATATTGGAAAAATTGCAAGAATTACCACCCTATGTAATCGATACGAGTAAAAGGAAATCAGAACAGAGTAAGTAAAATGTAATTAGTTTCAAAATTATTAAGTTAATCTAACATAAGGTCTAAACGTCTGAAATCTAAAATTAGTTTTCAAAGATCTTTATATGTGTTCAATATAAATCGTGATAATAAAATCGTGATAATAAAATCGATATATAATAAATTTCAGAATGTGAGCACTATGCGAGACAAGTTGATTATTGGACCGGGATAAAGTGTACGGCCGGCACGCCATTTATAAGGAACAACAATACTACACCTGTATATGGTATCATACTAGGTGTTGAGACTAAAGTTGATGAATTACCTCACATGGTCGCTCTTGGCAGACACAACTCAGACAAAACGTTCACCTTGATGTGCGGTGGCACATTGATCTCACATAGCTGGGTACTGACCGCTGCGCATTGCACACATGGGCCAAAGTATATTTCTATGTTAATTAAAAATTGCGGTAAAAGCTGCTCTTTTTTTGCAAAAATACATCAGACAAAGACTCGAGATCTGAAAACATTCCTCAAGATTAATTCTACAGTATTTTTTCAACAAGATACGAAATATTCTACATTTCAAAAAAATGATAACATTCTAAAAACCATTACTAAAAATTACAAAATTTTTAAAAGCGCAAATATTAAAATCAAATTAATATAAAATATTGTAACATATTAATGTAACAAAAAAAAATTAAAAATCGTAAGAATCATGAGAATTGATTCTGCAATTATTTATGAAATAACAAACTTAACAAATTCTTTACAAATTACCCTTTTGCAGTGGCAGTCCGCGTCATATCCGATTAGGCTTCCACAAATTAACGGATCAAAATACCGGTGTCATAGTCGACATTAAGAAAATGATAAGACATCCGGATTATAAGCCACCTGTAATGTATGCGGATATAGCTCTGATAGAACTCGTGGACGCAGTTACGTTTACCACCTCAATACGACCTGCGTGTCTCTTTCAACCGCATTTTTACAACTTGCCACGAAGAAACTGGATTAGTGGCTGGGGCGTCACCGAATTCGGTAAGAAATTTGATAACTTTTTGAAGAAAAACTTGAAATCGAGGAATCCAAAGAATTGGAAAATCTATGTGAAAACTTTCCATTTCTTAAGAATCGAAGACCTTAATATGTTAAGATCTTAGTAACAAATAGAATACCGATTAAGGTGTAATGATGTCATTCCAGCTGGAGAACGCAGTGATCCACTGCTGAAAGCTGAGGTGGATCTGATAAACAATTCGGAATGCACTAATGTTTACAGCAATGTAAGAGAAGTTCCGCACGGCATTGTGGAAAGCATGCTCTGCGCCGGTGATTCTCGTGGCAACTGGAGTAGAGATACCTGCCAGGGCGATTCAGGAGGTCCATTACAATCGCCCAATCTTATATATCCGTGTCTTTTCTATGTGGTCGGTATCACTAGCTTAGGTCTGGGCTGCGCGATAGTCAACACACCTGGCGTTTACACTAGAGTTCCCTCTTACGTTACCTGGATTGAAAATATCGTCTGGCCGTAAAAATAATAATTGCGACTTTTGTAAAAAAATGTACAAATTATTTTATGTTAAATTCAATACAATCGACTACGTCAAATCTCACAATTAGCTGTCCAGTAATTCTGTTAAAATTAGTTGAGGCCTACAGAGATTTTGACATTTAAAATGTTGGTCTAATTGTCATTTCTCTACGCCGTAACTAGTTAGTCAATCGAAGATGAGCAGCGTCCGTTTAAGACGTCGCCTGACGCATGATTTCTATTTTTTATTATGACATTATGAAATGACCACAGATCTCATGTTCTCATATGTGAACGTTTAGCGATTAAATTGAATATTTATATCAAGAATTAGCAATTAGAAGAAATTTTTTAAATGTCAAAAGTTTATAAAAGTTGTAAAAAAATAGTAATAAATAACTGCTTTAAAAATGTATGTGTATATATCTGCCATTGATTCCAATATATCAAATACACTGAAATTTTATCATAAATATAATAACGAAACACTGCTATTGTGTTTACAGTATTAAGCTTTATACTTGCAACATATTTAAAACCACAATTATGTTGAAGATATTCTATATTGAAATCATAACAAGTTCAGAAAACTGTATTAAAGCAATACGATTTTATTACGCTCAATTTTGTAAACTAATTAAGGATTACTCTGTCTCTTACAGCAGAAATTTTGATTGAAAATTGTAACATTGATTTACCTTTTCCGTAGATTGCAAGAAAGATTCATGATCCACATACTGTCAACATCTCTCTCCACTCTTGTCTGACGCGCACTCTTCTTTATTTCGTCTTTTCCTGCTTTTTCCCTTATTATTTTTAGTAGTTCATCTTTTTCTTAACTAGTTTATCCGTTGTGATCGTTTTTAAGTACGCGAAGATTTGCAATTGGTCATCGAAGATGATTTGTCATGTCTGACTCATGTTTCTTCTTTTTCCTCATTACTAGAATATCATGCGATGATCATGAGTATGATCTCATGTTCATTCTGAAAAGTGAATTCAATGATTAAATTGAATGTTAAATATTTATAATCAGGAATTAAAAATTAAGAAAAATGTAATGTCAAAAATTATATTAAAAAAACTGTGTTAAGAACTTGTGGTTTGATTAAACTAAATTTTGCAAATGAATTAGTGATTGTTCTATCATTAAAAAAAAATTTTTTTTTATTTCTTCATGTACTACAAGGAAGAGTCACGACATAAGTACTTCCAAGGATTTCTCCCCACTCTGGTCTAACGTGTTTTCTTCTCTCATCTCTTTCTGCTCTTTTATCTTTTCGTCGCATGTTCGTAGAATTAAGAGAGAAAGAGGGGAGCTGGATTCCCCTGCGTATTCTCTATGGTCGCTTATCCTTGCCAAAGGAATATCGAATAGTCCATATCTACACACGTCTCTTTCACGATGGATTATCGTTTCGGACTTATTGCAATCTTCGTGGTCCTTGATGCAAGCTTCATCTGGACAATTGATGGCAGAGATTCAGGTAGATTTTTGTTGATATCACGTTATTACTGCTAGAAGTAATTCGCAGTTATCGACTATCATTTTACGTTATGATATCGTTATTGTTATAAGTCTTTATTGTTATCAATAAGTCTGAAGATAATAGAGGCTTATAGATAACGTTTTATAACATTTATATTCATAAATTTTTCCATTCTAAATTTTTTTTGAGAATTTTAAAATTTTATGTTGCAAGACAATATGTGAAGTAGTTGTACGTATATAATTATATACACTAAATACATTTATACACAATTTGTCTTGCATATTTTCTAGATAATCATGATTCCTCGAAGACCAACTCATCTGAATTTTTTTTTAACTTTCAAGGAACTAATACAAGGATTGGATCTCCTAATCAGTCCAGAGCACACTTAGCGAAACAATTCACGCCAACATATAATCCTTTTCTAACGCCGGATTTTGTTTTTCCTACTGCATTTGAAATTGCAGTAGCGGGCGCAAAGCCAATTCTGTCACAGATCCAAAAAGAGAGCGATCCATCAAAAACGAAATCAGAACTTAGTAAGGAAAATGTTATTAGCGTCGAATTTATTAAGTTTAAAAATCTTGAGCATAAAATTTAAAAGATATCTAAGATTATAAAAAGAATTTTTAATTAGGCTCAGTTTTTCAATTAAAACTTTAAAACGATGATACACGCTTATTTATTGAGCCTTAGCTTATTCTAGGTGCTATTTATTAATATATTTTACATGTGTTTGTGTCGTATATCTTACATCTAATTGTCGAACGTTTCGGCACCTCTTTTTGGGCCTTCTTCAGCGAATCTAATTTTTGTTGCGCAATAAATAAACAGAGTGATACGGATTT